CCTCCTCCTCCTCCTCCTCCTCCTCCTCCTCCTCCTCCTCTTCCTCCTCCTCCTCCTCCTCCTCCTCCTCCTCCTCCTCCTCCTCCTCCGTCCTCCTCCTTCGTCCTTCCGGCGCGCATGTGGCGCGTCGCAGCCGCATAACTTCGCGTGTGGCGTGTTTTTGCCCTGGGGCTATCGGCAATGATCAGGAGACCCCAGAATCGAATCGACGAGTCAGATCGGCGATCGAAGTGGCTCGGATCGGCGGACATCGACAGCCGAGTCGGGAAGATTCGAACCTGTGGACATCGGGAAGCCACTATGCCTCCAATGAGAAATTGGAGCCCAAATCGGAATCCCAAATAGAATCGAATTGGAATCGGAAGCCATCGAAATCGAATCGAATCGAATCGGAAGAATCGAAACGAACCTTTGTAATGTTTCTAAGGCGACAACAAGCCCGCCGGGGCGGTGGTCGAGACGCGTGGGAGAGTAGGACGAGGGAAAGGAGGACGGACGACGACGACGGACGGCCGACGACAACGACGACGAGGGGGCGTCGCCTGCACCATGCCCTCCCTGGTGAGGCAGTGATGACGACAAATCCAGATGAGGATGAATCCAAAACCCAGCGAATCTGGGAGCATGGGCCGCCGCGGCCGTAGTGTTCTGTGACGCTCTGGGATAGTCTGTATGACTTCGTGTCTTGTGGTATGTATCGAATGCGCGTTCTTGGTGTATACGACTGACGTGTATTGTGTCGGATCGCTCTTGTTCATTTGGTACACGGGTTGTGCATCTGATCTGGATGGCTCTTAATGGCAGTGGCTCTGTGTGGAGCACATGCGTGTGTTCGACGAAATGCCGCTTGTGTGTACCACTTGTATATGTAATCAATGTATGCAATGTGTGGATGCTTTCGGTTAACGTTCCCGGTGCACCTTATTCGGGCTTTGGATGGAGCCTGTCCTTGATGCGTGGTATCTGCTGTCTGCTGTTGCCTGGTGCATGTTCGCGAAATCCGACCTCACGTGAGCTCCTCACAGGCGATCGCATTGTAAGATATTGATATGTGCTCTTGAAGTCTGCTCTAGGTGTGTGTCTGTGTGTGTGGACGGCGTGACGACGTGACGCCTGGACGACGTGACGCCTCCCGAATGGGGAACGCGAGACCTTACCTCGAGGCGGGACCCCAAGAGGCCACGGAACTTGCTCGGCCTGGCGGCCGAGTCGCGAGGCGGGACCCCTGGGAACCACAGCGACTGCGAGGGGCCTGGCGACTGCTGTATTCTGGGAGGGCGAGGCGGATCGGGAAGTCCGCCTCTACAACCGGAGAGCCCCAACCTGTCGAGTGGGGAAAACATGCACCTCCTCTACAACCGAGGCGGGATGACGAGAACTCCAGACGAAGGTGGATCAGGATGACCCGATGAAAGCGAACGGGTCCGAACAGCATGTCCGGCGACACGGCCGCTGGAGCGATGTACCCCCATGCCGGGGCTGCGTGACAATCTCCTCCTCTGACGGCGGCGACTTCTCATTTCGACTGTGGCGTGGGCCCCTGGGAGGTCCTTGAAGCCGTCCCAAGGTGTGGCATTATGTCAAGCATGTCCTCCTACAGGCTAATTTTGCACGAAAAATGAAACATATTCTAAACGTGCCACAAAATAATCAAAACACATAACAGAAAAAAACGTCCCCATACTATTGTTTGTACTACTTTTGAATATTCCCCATGTGGAGGGGCACGCCCGCCTTGAGGCTGGCACGTCATCCCGAATCCTTTTCTGACGGCTCCAGGGCCCAAAACAAAGGTACTCCAGATTTCGTAATAAAGGGAGGGGGGTCTCATTTCGGGGGGGGTCTCTTCCAGGCTATCTTGGAGGGCCTGGGGGGTCTGGGGACGATGTTTTGGAGGGTTCTCCCACGGGGGAGGTCTGAAATGGCTTGTCTTGGAGGGTCCAGACCTCCTCCCTTTTATTACGAAATCTGGAGTGGCCCCTCCCCCCCGGGGGCCGAGTGCGCTGGAGACGCTATGCGCCACGGTGACAGTCCACGACGCGCGCAAATCGGAGGGAGAAGCCTCCCCTGCTGGAGGGTGCCGAGGGAGGCCCCAATCGATGGGAGCAGGCGTAGAACACTTAAGAGCGGATGCACAGGAGGAGGGCAATCGACTGAAACATACTTTTTTTTTATTTGCGGCCAGCAAGGAGAAGTCCAGAGAGGGCGGTATGACCGAGGCTGGGGCACAGCGACAGATAATTGGCGCGAGAACGCGCGAAGTGCACCTGCAAGACAGAAACATACGTAAAGCACCAAGGATTCGTGCGCCAGGGGAGGCCCAATCTGTAGGAGCATACGGGGAACACCGGGGACTGGAGCCACTCCTGTGGCCTTCGCAGGGTGTCTCCAGATCTTGCCAACAGTTTTGGGTCCCCCAAACCCCTCTGGGCCTCGAGAGGGGTGCTCTGGGGGGCCTCCCCGGGAGTCCTGGGAATACCGTGGCTGGAGACATCTTCTCGCGTGCCCGTTGTCTTTTCTGTCGCTGCGGGCCCCCAAAAGTCTTGACCCGTTCCCCAAGGCCGATCCACTGTTTGATGGCCTCATGGCTCGGCGAGGGCCCCGAGGAGCCAAACATGACGAGAAACAACCGTCCCCGACGCTCACAAAACATCGAAGTTAGAAGAGGGAAAAACGCCAGAAACGTAAACTTTTGGCGCTCCGCGCGGATCTCTTGGATCTGCGCTGGACCCCCCTCCCTGGTGCGCGGAGCGCGCCAAGGGCGGCGCCGAGGGGGCCGAGCGCGGCTTCAAGAAATCCGCGCGGAGCGCCGAAACTTTATGCTCATGGCGTTTTTTCTTCTTCAAGAAGTGTGTCGGGTGCTTCTAGAAGTACCCCTGGCCCAAAGTACCCCCAAGACTCTCGGGATGGCCCAAACGGCCTCCAGGGCACCCCTCACGAGGCCCAGACGGCCTCCAGGGCTCCAAAATGGAACGAAAAGCTTGGGGCACCTCGGACCAGGGGCATTTCGAGCAACACCCGAGAGCGGGCCCGATGCTTCTCGATCGTCGATTCCCCCCGGCACCACGAACTTCGAGGCGGACCTGAAGGTGAAGGTGGCCGAGCGCGCCTGGGCTCGCTGGCGAAGGCTGCCTGCCGCGTCGCGCTCGCGCGCGAGGGCGCGACTGTCTGGGAGGTCCTGGGGCAAGACGAAGCCAGGACGAGGACAATGTAGGAGGAGGACAAGGGGGAGAGGAGGAGGAGAAGGAGGAGGAGGAGGAGGAGGAGGAGGAGGAGGAGGAGGAGGAGGAGGAGGCGGAGGCGAAGGAGGAGGAGGAGCAGAGCGGGGGGTACAGGGACCGCCCCCACTAAGGTGCCGTGCAGAGAGGATGGCGGCGAGACCAGACATACCGAGGGGACGCCCTCGGCCTTGAGCGGAGGGCTGGACGAGTGCCCCTCTTGGGAGCGCTTTCTCGGCGAGGTCTCAGGGACTCGATCGCAGCGCAGCTAGACGAAGACGCCTCCTAGGGGAGAGCCTCTTTGGGGTCCCAGAAATCTCCAGCGGATTGCTTTGATCATCAGGTCGATGATTTCCTCCTACAAGCGGATCTTGAGAGAGAAAAGCCAAACCCATAGTCAAGCACGAAACAAAACAGAAGAAACAACGGGCACGAACACTCGTCGCCAGACTGTGTTCAAACACTCCTCCCTTAGAGAGATGTCATCCTTTGGGGGGGAAGAGCCTCTTTGGAGCCCCAGATCTCCAGAGGACTGCTCTTACTCACGCGGAGGTGGTCCTCTTTCTCGGCCTCCGCGGGCACCGTTCTCGCGCCCCCACGGGCCCTCAGAACTTCGCCCTGGAGGGTTCGATATCCCTGGCCCTCGGGCCGAACAAAAAAAACACAGCACTGGACGTCCAGCAGGGGCTCGACCACAAAACAACCTTCCACAAGAAACCCAACCCTGAGACCCCAGGACGTCCATCGAATTTTGGTGTGGGAGCGTCACGCGTTCCATAGCAAACCCATCGAAACCCAAGAAACCTAGGGCCCCCCTGGAGGCAACCAGGGTGTCTCTTGGCATGGGTTTCCGCTGTATGGGGGCCAGTGGTGATGGCGCCGCGCAAGCGGCAGCCCTGGCACCAAGGAGGGACGAGCTCGGCACGGGGTATAATGGGACCCTCGGCGGCGCGCCCAACGGGAAGGCGAATGGGGCGAACCTTCTCAAAAGGCTCAGAAGACCTCTGGCCTTGTGAGAAGTTTTCGACGTCTTCTCCGAAGCCACACAAGGCTTGTCAGAAGGCTGGAGTGGTTCTGTGGAAGCCCCGCCGCCATCTGACAATCATGCCCCCTCTCACATCCCTGTCGGCGCGCCGCCGACCAACGTGCGCCTGCGCACCGATGCCCTTCGATACGACGACCCAGACGAGGCCCGTCCACCGAAACCCTCCACCGAAACAAGACTGCCCAAGAACTACTCGGGAAGAGAAACTGGCCCTTGGAGAAAGGCCGGGACGTCTGGGGACACCATGCAATGCAAAAAACATCTGGGCATCGGATGACTGGGAAAGCGGGGGCAGCGATCCGGCTACACGCAGCTGGCCTTCCCGCTGCCTCTTGGAGCGACCAAGGTTTTGCTGAACGGGCCTGCCAGTGGAGCCCAAACCAGCTGCGTGCATCAGATTACGGGAGGGAGGGAGGGAGCGAGGGAGGGAGGGAGGGAAGCACCCCGACCCTTTCCTGGTCCCCACCCTGTCCACCGACCTGACCGGGGCAGGATCCACGGCGACCAGGGGGCGGACGAGCACGCAGAACAGAGGGGGAGCTCGAAGAACAAAACTGCCGCGGCAGGGTAGGCCATCGGAGGTCCGCGGGGATCTCTCGGGTCAGACCGCAAGCAGCCTAGAAAGGCGCAACATCGGCACACGAACCGATCGAACCGAACCCACCAACCGAACGCCCTCACCCTGCGAGGCAACCGAAGCGACCGAACCGTGGACGCCCTGGGAAGTCGTCCTCGAAGTGCAGACGCAATCGAATTAATCGATGTCACGCGCAGACATAGGCAAGCTTCTTCGACTCGTCAATTGTGGGCAGCAGGCGGAGGAGGGTGAGGGGGGGGGGGCCCAGGGTGGAAGGCGGACGGGGTAGGCCTTCTCCCTCCTCCTCCTCATCCTCCTCCTCCTCCTCCTCCTCCTCCTCCTCCTCCTCCTCCTCCTCCCCCCCTCCGTCGCGAAGAGGCCACGACGAGGGAGGCCACGACGACGAGGGGGGCGGGGGGAGGGGGGAAGGCTTCCTAGAAGCTTCTGAGAAGCCCCGCCGATTTCTGAAGGCCTGCCCCCTCTCGCTCCCCCTTGGGCTCGCCGCCGACGGGGGGGAAGAGCGGTAGGCGAAGGATGGGCACCACGACGAGCGCGTGGGTCAAGCACGGCGACGAGGCCGACGAATCCGCCATCGTGCCTGCACGATCCTGGCGGGTAGAGATATCATCGGGGGCCTAGGCTAGAATATCATCCTTCAAACACATGAGACCCTCCGCCGGCCAAAACACACAGAACATCCAAGGGTTACCCTCCCCAGGATGCACAAGAGCATCCAGCAAGCACGAAGAACACGAAGGCACCCTCACCGAACCGACCTCGATCTTAGACCCCGGTCCGACTACAACAGGTGCTGCTGTGAAGGGTTCTGTCGTCTGTCAAAGCCCCCCCCCGTCTACCAGCAGACTTTGGCGTGCACCCACCTGCCCCCCCCAGGAGAGCCCAGAATCGAATCGATGTCGGATCGGCGATCGAAATGAATCGGGTCGGCGCAAATCGGCAGCAGAGTCGGGCAACGTCGAATCGGCGGAAATCGGCAGGCTGGTAGGCCTCCAGCACCAAGTCGGAACCCACATCAGAAGCCGACGCCGAGCCGAATCGGCATCGGACGCCATCGAAATCGAACCGAATCGGAGGAGTTGAAACGCGCCCTGCCCCCCCCTCCTTCCCCGAGGCCGCGATCCTTTTTTCAGAGGAGGAGGAGGAGGAGGAGGAGGAGCAGGAGCAGGAGCAGGAGGATTGTCACGGATGTACCCTTAGGCCGTGGGCCGGGCTCACACACCTCAGCCCCTAGGGGAGCGGGGTCTGGCCGATGCGAGAAACCTGCCATGCGGCTTAAGGAGGGGGGCGGAGGCCAATAATGATACCGAGGTGCTGAGTGAGGAGCACCGGTCGATGCTCCACCTCTCTATCGCCTAGGGGGAGGAGGAGGAGGAGGAGGAGGAGGAGGAGGAGGAGGAGGAGGAGGAGGAGGAGGAGGAGGAGGAGGAGGAGGAGGGTCCGCGCGCCCGAGGCGGCGATCCCCCGGTGCACAAGACCAGCGTGCGCCCGCGCCCCGAAGCTGCCACGACGGCCCAGGCAGGCCACCGGGGCAGCCAGAGAGTGGCCCAGGCAAGATGCCTTTTTGTTGATCCTGGCAATGCCAAACTGCTTCCGCCGCCTAGTCTTAATGACCTGGTTCTGGCGGGCCCAGTTACTGCGGCCTGGGAGACAGGGCAAGATGGCCCCAGGGCGGCGCAATATATGGCCTCAAGACTGCCCAAGATGCCTCCAAGAGAGCCCAGCAGGGCTACCAGAGCACCCCAGCAGGGTGCGGAGAAGCCAAACTCATGAATGTTCCTACGAAGTTTCGAAGGCTGTCCGCAATCTCACCCCTTCGGGCTTCCCTTGCTCAAACGGCCGAAAAAGAAGATGGCCCCGAGACGGCCCGAGAGGGCCCCAAGGGCCCTCAAGGCCACCTCACAGGAGGCCAAGACAGCCCCAAGGCGGCCCGACACAGTTCAATGAGAGCTCCTCAGATAGAGGAAACGAAAGGTGTCAGATGTGACGGCCTTCCTCTTACTCCTCCTCCTGTTGTTCCTCTTCATCGTCGTCGTCGTCGGCGTCGACACCACCACCATCAGCATCATCACCACCACCATCAGCATCATCACCACCACCACCACCATCATCATCACCACCACCACCACCATCACCACCATCACCATCCCCATCCCCATCATCATCATCATCAGCATCATCATCATCATCATCATCATCATCAACATCATCATCATCATCATCGTCAACATCAACATCAACATCAACAACATCATCATCACCGTCATCAGCACCGTCATCATCACCGTCATCATCATCATCATCATCATCATCACCATCACCATCACCATCACCATCACCATCACCATCACCTCAACCACCACCAGCGTTACCACCATCATCATCACCACCATCATCATCATCATCATCATCACAACCACCACAACCACCATCATCATCACCATCAAACTCATCATCGTCAACAGCAGCATCATCATCATACTCATCTGCACCATCAGCATCACCACCACCATCATCATCACCATCTTCATCCATCATCAACAGCACCGTCACTCATTCGTATCATTACAATCACCATCACCATCGCAACCACCACCACCGACACCACCACCACCACCATTATCATCATCATCACCATCATCATCGCCATCAGCATCATCATTATCATCATCAGCATAAGCATCATCACCAGTATCAGCAATAGAGTCATCACCATCATCACCATCATCATTATCTTCATCACCATCGTCTCCATCGTCACCATCATTATCCTCATACCCAACATCCTCATAATCATCACCCGCACCACGGCACTCCCGAGCCTGGAGACGCGACGCGTCGCGCGTGACGGCCTCCCGTGACCCCCTCGAACGGTCGCCACCCAGAATGCTAGACTGGCACGGTGGCGGGACTGGTCGCGGGCATCTGAACATGATCACGGCGACGACGACCAGCACGACGACGAAGGGGAAAACGCAGACGACACCCAATTCTCGACGACGGTGATTAACATAACAAAAAAAACGACGATCGACGGCGTTCCCCTAATGTCTCCGAAATTTCCGGAGGTCTCCAGAGGCGTCCAGAGGACCCGCAAATCGTCGACGCAGATCCGAGCACCTGGTCGAAAACGACCACGCGCCTCCTGGCCGACGCTGGCGGCGGCGAGCACGAAGACAAGAACGACGGGAACAAATAGCAGGACAGGGCTGGACCTAAACCCTGTCTTGCTGGATGTCGGCTGCGTTTTGTTTTTCGTTTTGGCAGGGAGGTACAGGAGAACAGGTGGAACAAAACGAACAACAACATGAAAACAACACGAAAAACAACATTTAGGTCCAGCCCTGTAGCAGGAATTGTGCACTGCGGCCGCGGCCGCAAGAAACCCTCGCAACAAAACCCAGCCCCCACACCCGCAGGCGCGAGGAGCTCCGAGTGGGGGGGGGGGACCTGGAGCACCCCGAACGTGACGACTCATTCCACAGCCTCGTGAGGCCACCGCGCAGCGCGCGGAGCGAAGAAGCCCGGGGTCAGTTTTGTGATGCGCGCCCCCACTGCACAGTGGAGGCCAGTCCAGCAAGAACAGAGAAACATCACCCTGAGGCCCCAGGACGTCCACAGATTCTTGGTGGGGGGACGTCGCGCTTTCCATGGCAGAACCCTCGAAACTAACGAAAGCCAGGGCACCCTGAAGGCAAGCAGGGTGCTTCTTGGCGTGGGCCTCCACCGTCCTGTGCGCGTGCGCCGATCTTGGCCGCGCTCCTCCTGCGATCTGTGCATCTGCGCCCTCCTGGCCAGCCTCAGGTCGGGCATGTCCCCCATAAGAAAGGTTCAAACATCGTCCTTAGTCTAGTTTCGTTTTTTTGAAATATGGCTCCTGAAGAGGAACATGCCCGAGTTGAGGCCAGGCACGGAAGGCGCATGCCATCGATCCCGGGCCCAGGACGAGCGCACGCCCGGGATGGGCGCATGTCCACAGGCAGACAGAAGCGCCCGCAGATGCTCGGCGGCGAGCGAACGGGGGGAAGCGAGAAGGAGAAGGCCTTCTCGGAAGGCTCGGAAGTCCCCCGGCCTTGTGGGAAGGCTGCTAAGCCTTCCCCGGAGACATGCAAAAACACTTGTTCCCAATAGGCGCGAGGGCCTCTGAGAAGTCCCGCCGCCTCCTTCTGAGAAGGCCTTCTCCTTCTCGCCTCCCCCCCTCGGTCGCCGCCGAAATGTCCATGCACGACTGCGGAGGTCGGCACAGATCTCCGGGGTCGACGCTGTGGATCCCCTGCGCGGACCTCCGAGTCTTTCAAGTGATGCGTTGTTTTAGGTCGGGCGTGCCCCCCTACAGGCGGATGTTGGAGGAAACATTAAACATACTCAAAACAAACTCGGACGTATTCGAAAATGGTCGAAACATCATCCCCAGGCTAGTGTTTCACTATTTTTGAACACTCCCCCTGAAGTGGGACGAGCTCGACTTAAAGTTAGTTCTTTCTCGCCGCCCGAGCGAGGACGACTTTGGATGTCTTGAGAATGGCGGCTGCGGCGCTGGTGGTTGAGCCGATATGCCAAACTGATGGGGGCCAGTTTTCAACCACCGCTACCACATGCAGGACGGGGGAGAAGGACGGATGGGGAGGTTCTCCTCCTCACCTCCTCCTCCTCCCCCTGCTCCTCCTCACTCTCATACCTACGGGAGATGTGGTGGAACATCGGCCCATCACAGAAACAACATGCTGAAACATCATAACGTGAGCCCGACACTCCCAACCACCACTTCGTGATCCCAGCAGCGGGGCGTGGGCTCCGTGTGGGCCGCCTGCAGAGCCGGCCGACCACCTCGGATGCAGTACCTCACGAGATAGCGGCCAGGCCTGTTCGGGCAGCGTGTCAGGACACCGAGAGATACCGACGACGCTACTCCCTGGACCTTTCCCCGGGATGCGATCCGACCACGATATCGAGGCGAACCCATCCGTGGCGACGAGGGCCTCCCAGGAGACCCAAAGGGCGTCGATGCCTTTTCCTCCTCTGAGCTTGTCGCTGCGCGAGCAGAGAAAACAGTAGCCACAGCCACATTACCCACCGCGTCGAGGGCCGAGGACGGCGGCGGCAGCTGGGCGCCGCCTCCGCCCTGCCGCGCGAGGCCGAGCGACGGCGCCGCGCCCGTGCCGAGCGACAGCGCCGCGCCCGTGCCCTGCAGGATCGCCTCGTGCTTCAGCTCGGACTGAGGCGGCAGGTGCAGCGAGTCGAAGCTGGCGGCGGGCCAGCGCGCGGACGCCCCGCCCGTGCGCGCGGAGCGCGCCAGGGGCGGCGGAGGAGGCCCCGCCAGGGGTGCCCGGCGCCGAAGCAAGACGCGTGAGCGGAGCCCCAAGGTTGATGGTCATGCCGTTCGCTGCCATTCGGTGAAAGTGCCCCTGGCCCAAGGTGCCCCCAGCGCTTCGCTCCATGTTGGAGCACCTGGGGCCAGCTAGGCCTCGGGAGGGGTCCTCTGGAAGCCATGGGTACCTTCTTGGAAGTGCTAGGAGAACCGTAGGCCAAAGACACCTCTAGCAACACCCTGCTTTTCGCTACCGCGCATGCTGCTTCGCTTTATCTCTCGACGGGATGCTGACATCTACTTCCCCCCTCCTCCGCCTCCTCCTTTGCGTCAACTTAGCAGGCGATGTTCCGCTTCGCTTGCGCATTTGTTTTTCACGCGTCGTGCAAATCGTCTTCCGAGCCTCGCACATCTCGCGATTGGTCTGAACTCAACCACGTCTTGCCATCCATGGGGAGCTTGGCGGAGCACACAAAAGGGGTGTCGCGAATTGAGCGGCCTTTTGAGACTGGGCATGAGGAGCATTGCAACAAGAACGGAGAATGACGAGACGATAACCGAACGAAGGACCACAGACACAGAAGACAGGACGGGAAACGGGAGGAGGGTGAGAGGCGGAGATGCATTCATCCAAGACCACCGCCTGTGGGATCGATCATCGGCGACCTCGACAGGCGGTGGATGTGGATATCGCGTTGCCCTCCTCCCCCCAGGCCCGAGCATATCCACACCCACCGCCTGCGTGGTCCCCGAAGATCGATCCCGCAGGCGGTGGTCACGAATGGCTCCCCGCATTATCCTGGCGAGGGATTTTGCTATATGCAGCTGTGAGTACGTTCTTTGTGAATATCAACGTCAGTGGATCTCATCATGGGGCACTGGGTGGAGCTGCCTTTGGGGCAACGAAACGTGGGAAACATGTGAGGGGATGGGCAGGGGGAGCGAATGCGAACGGTGGCGCTGGGACATAGGGTGGAGCTCCCTGAGGCGCGTGAGGGGTGTGCCGAAATAGCTGGCTGGGACGCATGCGGGCGGCACCATGTGGGCCTTGGATGGAGCTCCCGATGGGGCTACGAAACGTGTGAGGGGGTGCCGGCATGGGTGGCGAGGACGCATGCGGGCGGCACCATGTAGGCCGTGGGTGGAGCTCCCTGCGGGGGGCCGCGAAGTGTGAGGGGTGTGCCGAAATAGCTGGCTGGGACGCATGCGGGCGGCACCATGTGGGCCTTGGATGGAGCTCCCCATGGGGCGACGAAGCGTGTGAGGGATGTGCCGGGATGGGTGGCGGGGACGCATGCGGGCGGCACCATGTGGGCCTTTTATGGAGCCACAAAACGTGTGAGGGGTGCGCCGAAATGGTTGGCGGGGACGTATACGGGCGGCACCATTTGGTCCTTGGGAAATGCTCCTTATGGGGCCACGACGAAACGTGTGAGCGGTGTGCCGGAATGGGTGGCGGGGACGAATGCAGGCGGCACCATTGGGGTCTTGGGTGGAGCTCACCATGGGGCTACATCGCGTGCGAAGGGTGCGAAGGGTGTGTTGAGACGGGCGGCGGGGACACATGAGGGCGGCCCCATCTGGGGCTATGGGACCACAGTGCGTTTGAAGGGTTTGCAGAAATGGGTGGCGGGGACGCATGCGAACGGCACTATTTGGACCCTGGGTGGAGCTCCACATGGGGCCGCGAAGAATGTGAGGAGTGTGCCGAATTGGGCGGCAGGGGCGCATGCGGGCGGCACCATGTCGGCCTTGGGTGGAGCTCCACATGGGGCCACGATGCGTGTGGTGGGTGTGCCGGCATGGGTGGCGGGGGCGCATGCGGGCGGCACCATGTGGGCCTTGGGTGGAGCTCCCTATGATGGGGCCACGAAACTTTTGAGGAGCGAACCAGGATGGTTGAGTGGTGCGGGGGGCACAGGCAGGGATGGGAGCAGAAAGAGGGGGAGGAGGAGGAGAAAAGAGGAGGGACGGGGAGTGCCGCCTTTTTCAAAACGAGGGCCCAACACCACATGATGGTTGAACAAAATACGTGTAAACTGTCGACGGTACGCGCGGATGTTTCGGATCTGCGTTGGCCATCCCTCGATGATGCGCGGAACGCGCCAGGGGCGGCGCCGGTGGCGCCCCCAGCGGTGCCCTGGCGCCGACTCATGAAATCTGCGCGGAGCGTCGAACGGTTTTACAATTATGTAGTCTTTGTTTATCTTCTGTTCCCCGAGGCGGGGAACTAGCCATGACCACCGCCTGCGGGATCGATCCTCGGGGACCTTGCGCGCCAGTGACATTGGCGTCGGTCTCTGACGCCTCGTGTATCGTTGAACTTCGCACGATCGCGGCCTTCCGACATTGCCAATCTTTCAGTGTCGGCCCGTTGCGTGCCACTTGTGGCGCTCGGCATCGAAACGCCGCCGGTGTTGGGGCCGCCACCGTAAATTTCACGCGGTACGAACCTACCGTACATGGAATCATCGTGCTACTATTCAGGCCGGGCTTCCGTATCATTGCCGGGAACATGAGCTAAACCGTCGTGTTGTACAAATGTATCGCATGACGCAGCCTGGCAAGAAACCGAAACACTCCCCGCACGAAAATAACAAAAAATCGTGATTCGCGTGCTGGTGACGCCCTTGTCGCTCCTGCAAAACGTACGGAATGCAGCGACACAGGCGACACCTCCGCGCGGACGCATGATCCAAATGGCCCATGTCACCAGCATGGGCCGCATGGGGCGCGGGAGACGCAGGGTTCCGCTGGAAACCAACTTCCGTTGCACATCGGCCCCGTGCCGACTAGCCGAGGAGCCCGGGGAGTGCAGGGGCGACCAGACAAACCAACCAACCAACCAACCAACCAACGAACTGGATCCCCGTGTGCGCCCATATTTTCTGGGCACCTCCCGCACTGAGCGTTTGAACGGGAGCGAATTAGCTTGTGGTGACTGACCGTTCTCCAGCGGCTACCCTTTGGGGAACCCAGGCGACACGTGTGCTGCACCACGATGGCCATAGGAGCTCAAAATACAAAAAGGTCATGGGTGCCATAATCAGTGTTTCTCTTAATGCGCTCTCAAGATCTAGCTGGGAGCGGACAGATGTAACACCCCATGGCGGTTCCCCCACTAGCGTACTCCATTGCTGCGTGTTGTATATATATATATATATATATAGATGTGTGTGTAGCTATATAGATATAGCAATATATCCATACAAACGCGCAGACGTACATACACACATATACACGTTTGCGGGATGGACGTGCTCAGCCTCGTTCGCCCTGCATCTCACCTTACGGGCTTTTTGCTGGTGACGGTCTCACCTAGACTGCTCGTCTACCTGCCGCACCTCGTCCGCCCACCTGGGCGGCCTCAGTGTGCTTTCCCCTACTAGAACTACCTAGTCATTCCTCAGTGCTGGTTTCACTGCTTGTACCCTTGCATGTCGCGTACTGGGCCTCGTCATCGCCCGTGGATGCACGCCCGCCGCGGCCTGGCAGCTGCCGCGGGCCCCGCTGCCGACGCTGGCCGCTCCAGCGCGCCCACGATCGAATTCTTCCGCGTATGAGTTTCACCTCCTTCCTCCTCCTTCGCGGCCGCCCCGTTTGGCTCAATGTTCTCTCCTGCGCGCTGGGCAAGTCGCTCTTCCATCGCCCCGTTTAGCCCGGCCGCTGGTCTAGCAGTTCTACCTCGCCGCCGACGAAAAAAAAGTTCAGCCTCAGTGCCAGTGATTCTGTGTGTGTGGGTCTGAATGCGAATGAATTTGAGCGTGGTTGTGTCCGAACATGGGTAGCAGGTCGGAGTATGCATGAACCTGGGTCTCCGCATGACTTACCGAGCGTGACCTGAGCACGGGCAGTATGCATATGAGCGAATCTGCACATGAATGAACAGTGTGCAAACGTCTTATGCGCATGAGCCTGACTATCCCTAAGCTCCGTCCGCGTCGAACCGAATGTGAATAAGGGGAAACCAGTTCCTTCTGGGCGCAAGCGGGCCAGTGCCCCCCTCACTGGCCGTCGCTGAGGCGTCTGATTGCAGCGTCTGCTATAATGCTGTGATCATGTGCCTCCCGCGCGAGGCGACTCCCGTCCGCGTGCGTCATTATCGCAAAGGGGGCAAACATCAGCCATCCTACCAGTTTGTCCTTGGGGTGATATGGTGGCACGCCTACTACATCGTGGCGGTCATGTGGTTGTTCAACTAAAGAAAGATCTGACCCAAGAAATGTGCAAACATATTGAGACATCCACCACAATGCGGTCGCGAACGGGCACGGCCCCTTGTGGCATGACTAAATGCCACGCCTGCCTTGCCGCGGCGACCATACGGCTCTCAAGAGCGAAGCGTCTGTCCCGCACAACGGGCACACCGCCACAATGTGGGCGCGAACGGGCAGGTGTGTTGCTCCCTTGCGGTTCCTTCTCGGGGTGCCCAAGTGGGACCAGGGCTATATCGTGCAGGCCATGCGTTTTTGTTGTTTGTTTTTGCTGTTTGGCAAAAATGCACGTCTTGCCAAACGAAGAAACAGCCTGGAACATCCGTACAATGAGATCGCGAACGGACACGTGTCCGACCCCCTGGCGGTTGTTCCTCGGGGCGCCGGTGTGTTCCACCCAACGACCGTTCCCAGGCGGCACCTCCTTGGTACCGTACTGCTACGTCTGCTACATCTCGGTGAGCCTACTGCCGCGCATGAGCGCATCAAGGTATGATTTGTCTAAATTTGGTTCACTGTGGGGGCGAGTGAACCTGAATGACTACGTGCGAAAATGATGTGATTTACTCTAGGTCGGGTGCGGGTGCGAGGGGGTCTGAGTGTCAGCGGGCTTGCTTGCGAATGCGTCAACGTGTCAGTGGGCCCGCCGTGCGTGTGACATGTGCGTGAGGACGTCGACGGGCGAGGGGGCGGGACGGCGAGATGCGGATGTGTCAGATGC